GTACCGATGGATGCTTCACTAAAAATATTTATGTTCATTCTCAAAAAAAAAATTTGTTCAAAGGCAGGACATGAGTGAAGAACTTGACAGTAAAGTGTTCTTAAGAAGCAATCAAGGAATGACACATCCATTTGCTAAAATATTCATAATTAAAATTTATATTTGGACAATTTGCAAAAATATCATGAACCAGATTTGATAGATTTCTTAGATGAAAAAAGGACATGAACGAAAGAAAAGGCTAATGAGATTTACAATCTCTTGCCTCAGGCCGAACATCAATAAGTACGGCTTTGCCATCACTTTTCAATAGCTCCAATGTCGATTCAGGCGACAAATCTCCAGAATAGCCACCATATGCGAAGAGCCAGTAAGATATCCTACAATGTTACAAAATTCAGGACTTTAGAAAACCAAATGCAGGAAAGGTACCAGTACAAAATAAATGAAAATTCCCTTTACCCTATTGTTGTTGAACCTCCAAGCAAAACTGCCAATTGAACAATTGGGTCACTTGGGTTCAAACCAACATTCTTTTCGATGCCTTCGATGATAACATATACCTGAAGCATTGCATGTCAGAATATTTTCCGTGGCCTCTTCAACAATTGGCTCGACAGTTTACAGATTTACTGCTAGGAGTGTCTTAAGGGAAGACATGGCACAAATATACCTGTTGAAGGGCACCTCCAATTGGTCGCAATACTATGCTAGCTTTCTCCTCGGATGAGTTCAGCAAATCTTTGACATTTGGTGGCAACGACGACTTGGCCGAGCCATAGTAGTATACGAGGGACGTGGTGGCACTGCCCAGTGAATCCTCTGCTACAACAATTGCCTTCCTAAGAACGTCAGCCGCCACGGCGCCAGCTCCGGCCACCTTATCCTGAAATGCGCCGGAAACGTCCGGGACCCCACCGGCGGCCTGCTTCTTGGTGGCAGCCACCGAGGACGTGATGCCACCAGCGACGCCCCTTATCGCCTTCCTGTAGGCCCCGAGAGCGTCGTACGCCGACAGCCTGAGCTTGTCGTAGCCTTCGGTGAGCGCGTCCTCCGCCTGGAATATCTGCTTGCTGAGCTTGTCGATGAACCTGGCCACGGACTCCTCGACGCCGGTGGCGTCGGCCGGGAACGTGGTGGGCATCTCCGCGTCCATCAGGGCCTGCTGCGCGGCATCGTCGGTGACCGCGCCGACCACAGCGTCCGCGGCCAGGTCGACGGGCATCAGCGGCGGGTCGACCCCGGCGCGCCAGAGAGGGCCGGGCAGCTCGGCGGCGGAGGCGAACCCCCGCACGATGTCATCCGGCGCGGTGGCGTAGGGGGAAAGGATGGCGGAGTCGGAGAAGAGCGGGCGGTCGGGCACCGCCTGCGCGACGAGCGGGTCGGCGGCGAAGGGCCTGAGCGCGCCGGCCTCGACCCTCCGCAGCGCCCGCGCGCCGGCGGTCACCGGGCAGAGGGGGGAGCATGGGGTGGGCGCGGCGGAGGAGCAGAAGGGCAGCATGGCGGGAGGGGTGTTGGCATCAGACGGGTGTGGCCATGGCGCGCGGGGCGGGGGCGGGCACAGTTCACGAGTGGGGTGGTTGGTGCCGCGCGTGTGTGGAAGAGGCGCTCGATCCGGGGTGTGTGGAGCCGGTGCGACGCCGGGATTCGGTGATCTGCAGGATCGTGCGCGCGGGATTGCGCGGATTGGCGCTGGGGCATCGTGCGGCGGGCGTGTGGCTCGCCGGCGTCGCGGGTTGGGGGGGTGGACCCGTCCCGGCGCGCCGCGTGCCACATACGCTCGGCACCCTCGTTGCTCCGGTCGTTTTCCGGTCACCGCGGTCGCTGTTGCTCGGTGGCTCCGCCGTTCCGGGCCGACGTTCTGCGGTAGGTGTGGTTAAATTCGTGAAGTACGAGTGCGATTTTTTCCAAGCACGGGTGCATGGGAGTACTTTATTTTAACTATCAAAAAAGAGCCCGTGCGTTGCAACGGGAGAGAAAACATAACACACACTCTTAACTCAACAACCATCACTCAAAGCCATAATAGGTCCATCTCCTTTATTTTTACGAGGCATCATATTTGTGTTGCCGCTTATCCTCCTTCTCACCCTCGCCGGCGATGGCCTCGGTGTTGACAAAAAACAACAAAAAACATGTGTTGAATATGGTTAATCTTAAGGCGTCTCTCTCCCTCTCTCTCCTCCCTCTCCATCTCTCTGTCTCCCCCTCCCCTTTCTCTCGCTCTCTTTCTCTCATTCTCGCGATGAGAAATCTTTTGTTTTCCCCTGCGACATTTTTCAGAGGTATGCACGTGTAGTTATCAATGTTTTCTTTTTCATATATGCCTATAGTGGGGTATTTATTTGCAATCCGGATCGCCGCCGGTATGAAAAAAAAGATTTTGCGCTATAAATTATAAGTTTGCTTCCATAACAATATTTTAAAAATATTTATCAGGTAAAATTAACATCATATTTAGATTCCACACATTTTTCTAATAAAATTTCATATATAATATGTTAAAATCGAAGTTACTGTTTAAAAGATACAGATAATTTAGAAAATTATTTAATTTGACTCAAATATATTCCAAAATAATATTTAAAATACTTAACAGGTAAAAATAATCTCATATTCATATTCTATATATTTTTCTAATCAAATTTCATATATAACATGTTCAAATCGGAGTTACGGTTTAAAAGATATGGATGATTTTAAAAAGCATTTGTTTGACTTAAATATGATCCGCGGATAAATTACCTAAAACATGAAGGGGGGTTTTGAAAAATGTAAAATAACGGTTTGGGTGTGACTTAAACCCGGACGGCGGGTTGATTTTAAGAAAAGACATGGACTTTTGTGTAAAATACGAAAATAACGCTTCGTTTTAACTTAAAACAGGACTGCGGGTTGAATTCTTTGAAATAGAGGGACTTTTCTGAAAAAATGCCGATATATATGTGGAATCGTCTTGCGCCATATGTACTGAAATTGTTCGGGAGACATGGTCAAAGCCCGGAGAAAGATCAAGAAAACTAAAGAAAGCGTTAGCGCATTGGACTCGAAATCCAAATTGTGCTAGCTGACAAAGAAAAAACAGAATATAACAGAGAAATATTGGTTCTGACTGGTTGGTAAAAGGACTCTAAATCCTTTGAGTGGTTCGATTCCACAACAGAACAAAGAATGAAATGAATGAACGAAAACCAGGACCATGCCTCCAGTAGGAAGATCGAGGAACCGGTGCTGGCGCTCCTGGTTCATGGGATCCTAACCGCGATGGGGAGATTAGATATTATTCTTTCGTAAGTCCATCCAATGGAGATAGGTTGAGGAGAAAGAAAGGAGAAAAAAGAAATATGGACAGTAGATTGACTGTATCCGAATCAAATAAGAAAAAAACATAGCTATTTCATCAAATCCCGATTGTGTGGGTGTGAAGTGGAAAAATCCCATTCTGGCTGGCAGCGGGCATAGGACTGAAAATCCTCTTTCGCCGGGCTTTTTGGACTCAAAATCCAAACGGAGAGAGTGGTTCGAATCCACCTCAAAATGAACAATGAAAAAGGCGTCGAGCGGGTGCAAGCTCGAGGAGCTAGGAAGGATGGAAGAAAGCTTGACCGTTTTTTCACTGAACTACTCGAACTTTTTGTTTGAAAAAGCGGAAATAGCTCAGTTCGAGAGAGGGTTGAGCTTCATCGGTTAGTGTGCACCAAAGGATGAGGTTTCTTTCCCGTCCTACAAATTGAAACCGTTCTAGCTTGATACTGCGATATCGTCAAATCATCCAACGGAGCATGGAAACCATTTCGGTGGCGGTAATGGCCTCCAGTAGTTTTCTATGGAACCATACCACTATGTTCATCTATATGATTAGACCGTGCCGCTTCACTAGACTTTCCTGAACCATCCATTTGATCCCCACGGTCATGACACCACTTTCTAAACAAAAGTTTCCAAAATCCAATGCGGAACCAAGCAGTAAGAGAAATTCATCATGGTAATTATTAGTCGAAAACCAAAGAGGAACGGAGAGTCAGTTACAATGAAAAATTGTTGAGGAATCATGTTGAAAGAACAACATTCTATGTCATAAATATCGTATATAGAGATTTTTCATGTATCGACGCTTTTGATTCAATTATGAAAGTACGCTGTACTGGACTTGCACCCCTAGTTACGCAGAAGTGCAAGCACAGAAGAGGATGACCGGAACTTACCAACATACTCAAAAAAGTATTCTATACTGGGGTCTGTGCTCTTGACAAGCAGTGTTTCCAGTCTAGATGTGTCAAATCGGGTGTGAAGTGTCCTTCTAGGTTCTGGCTGGTAGAGCATAGGACTGAAAATCCTCATTAGTTTCACGCATGGGACTTTAAATCCCAATTGCGCTAGCTCTGTGGTTTGATTCCACAACAGAACAAACAATGAACGAATGTGGGCGGTCAACCAGGTAAGCCTGTGCCCAGGAAAGAAAGGACTAGGGAGGGATTGAGGGAAGCTTTCACAGTGGAAAATGCAAAAAATCATATCGTTCTTATAAATTGTGGAATTTTACTCAGTTAGAGCTATGGTTTAGCATCAAGAGGGAAGTTTTGTAAAAGCAACAGGAAGAATTGCTCAGATACCCATGAGCGTATATAACTTGGGTCGTGTTATAAATGCTCTGGCTAAACCTATTGATGGGAGAGGCGAAATTGTAGCTTCCGAATCTCGCTTAATTGAATCTCCTGCTCCAAGTAGAATTTCCAGGTGTTCCGTATACGAACATCTTCAAGCAGGGCTTATTGCTATCGATTCGGTGATCCCTATAGGGCGCGGTCAGCGAGAGTTCATTATTGGGGACAGACAGACTGGCAAAACAGCAGTAGCCACAGATGCAATTCTCAATCAAAAAGGGCAAGGTGTAATATGTGTTTATGTAGCTATTGGTCAAAGAGCATCCTCCGTAGCTCAAGTAGTAACTACTTTCCATGAGGAGGGGGCCATGGAATACACTATTGTAGTAAGCTGAAATGGCGGATTCACTTGCTACATTACAATACCTCGCTCCTTATACGGGAGCAGCCCCGGCTGAGTATTTTATGTACCGCGAACGACATACTTTAATAATTTATGATGATCTCTCCAAACAGGCACAAGCTTATCGCCAAATGTCCCTTCTATTAAGTCCCGGCCGTGAGGCTTATGCAGGGGATGTTTTTTATTTGCATTCACGCCTTTTAGAAAGAGCCGCGAAATTAAATTATCTTTTAGGCGAAGGAAGTATGACCGCTTTACCAATAATTGAGACTCAATCTGGAGACGTTTCCGCCTATATTCCTACTAATGTAATCTCCATTACAGATGGACAAATATTCTTATTTGCGGATCTATTCCATGCCGGAATTCGACCCGCTATTAATGTGGGTATTTCAGTTTCCAGAGTAGGATCCGCGGCTCAAATTAGAGCCATGAAACAAGTAGCTGGCAAATCCAAATTGAAACTAGCTCAATTCGCAGAGTGACAAGCCTATTATTCACCTCTGCTCTCAATAAAACAAGTCAGAATCAATTGGCAAGGGGTCGATGATTAAGGGAATTGCTTAAACAATCCCAAGCAAATCCTCTCCCAGTGGAAGAGCAGATAGCTACTATTTATACCGGAACAAGAGGATATCTTGATTCGTTAGAAATTGAACAGGTAAAGAAATAGTTCAATCACCCCAGAATCGTCGAAATCCCCTCGAAATGGAGAGCGGCGCAAGTCTCACACTCTTTCTCTCACTCTCTATCCTCTGTCTTCTAGATTTTCCCCTCGTAGCTGATACAGTGAAATATTATTATGTAAGGGAGCTGATCCACATGATTCAATGGTGAATTCTGATTTCCCCACAGACTGAACCAAAGGAGAAGAATAGAATAATTCACTGGTGCAGGCGGAGCAGCAAACCTTCGTAGAAAAGGGAGAGGGTATACCTAGAAATGATGAAATCAACTAGCACTGCCTTGCTAATTGAATAAAGGAAGATGCCGACTACTTTCTGAACAAAACAATGAGAGTCCCGAACAATGGGAGAATGGAGCTTCCCGTCTATGAACTAATCGATCGACTATATCGTATCGAGCTCAAAGGTTTGTGCAACTTATCTATCAAGCCACACTTCTTTACTTCGAGATAGCGCATTCCACACTTCTTTACTTCGCTATAGAAGTAGGATCCCTGCCCACAATACAATCCGTAGTTTACTTAACTGATATAAAGAGTTTCCCCTGCCTGCCCCTACTATCAATTGATAATACATAAATGATCCGGGGCTAGTGTTGGGTAGCTGGACCCACTAGAATTCAAGTGCTTCTTATCGATTCAATACGCCCTTAACGGATCCCCGTGCTTTATCTCCATTGGGTGGAGCAAGACCCTTGTCCTATCTTTTCTTTACAGAGCAATAGAAATGATGGTTGCCCCTCGCTGCACTGACCAATGATATCTCAAAAGAGAGAAAGACTTCTATAACTTGCCAATGATATCTAGCGGGCACTACGAACTCCAGGCATACTGTACTTGACCACCCTACTTTGCTTTGTCCCTATTAGGCGAAATCAATACTTACTTTCAATTGGTAGAGAGGAAGAAGAGAACTGACACTAGTAATAGGTTGATGACTTCTCTTAACAGAACTGACACTAGTAATAGGTTGATGACTTCTCTGACTTAATAGCTGGCCGACTTCTCTTCATGGATCACGGTTCTATATAGTTAGGCGCAGCATCGCGTTTAACCACCTATCCCTATTCCCCCAATCGATACCGTCCAACTATCCTTTTATTGGGACAATAGCATACTTCTCGTTAGGGACAGTACTTCCTATACTTAACTAACCTCTGTGTGCAATCAGTGTTTGACACATCATTCTTTCAACTTTTCATTCTTGACAACTCTGTTTGACGGAGCCTGACCTTGAACTAGCTTTTTGCAACACAAACCACTATCTTTACTTTCCTTTAGCAATAGTATCTAACTATCAATTCATAAGAGTCAAACGGGTGGGTCCATCCCATCTATCGACAGGTCCTGATACCGGATCTGGGAAACAAGCAATACTCGCTGCAATTCCTTAATGAAAAACAGACCTATCTTCTCTTGAAAGACTGTCCTTTCCTCGCTTGTTATTGTGATATCAATGAAAGAAAGCTGGATACTGACTTCTTCCCAAGAGCTCTATCAGCCCTGAATTCCTTAGCCATACGACTCTTCCTTAGTTTCCTAATGCTGGTGGCCCTAGCTAGTGGTGAGAAGGGGCATATACTATTCTCGGTCTTATAACGAAGAGGTTGCCTAGTTTGAACCGAACATTGTACTTGATCTCTCGTCCTATCACAAACAAGTCTCTTCCCCCGAGTCCTAGTAGACTAGTCCAAGTAGTCTAGGACAATAGCGTCCTGTCTCTTCGCTGACCCTGGCACACAATCACTATAAGGCAAAGCAAGACAAACCTCTCTTATCCTTCTCGGCTAGAAGTTACAAGTTTCCTGTTCCGGTTTCGGCTTGAGGGAAGTGCCTGAAATCGATTCAATTCTTATCTCCGATTTCGAACTCCGGCTGGATTCTTATGACCAAGAGCTATTTTATGGGTCAGAAGAATGGAAGGACAACGAGAAGATGGTTCGGTTGCTCCTGCTGGAATATTCCATTAGGAGAGTAATACTCCGACTCGCGTAACCCCGAATGGCAATGTTGTTATCGCGGTTGGTCAGATCAATAAGACAACAAGGGAGTCAGAATATTCTGATAATAACAAACATGGCTTTGGAATCTATGGAAGGAGCCTTCAATGCTTCTCTAGTGTCAACCATTAGTCGATAACAGAATGAAATGCCACAATGAAGTTGAAAAAGAGAGTCATTAAAAAGAGGCATGCTTGAAAAAGAGTACAGATAATATGTTATGGATGTGAGGAGCCTCACCCAGTACTTTTCTTACAAAACTCAAAAACTCTACTCTCCTTTCACAGCCAACCCACCCATTGCTTTTTCGAGCTTGATAAAAAGGAAAGTTCACGTGCCAATCCTTACCATTGGTAACTGTAATTACCAAGCCTAATCTTTCACTGAATACCGAGTAAAGCAAGCAAGAAAGAGGGAAGCAGCAGCTGTTTTCGAGCTAGGCTCGATCCCTTTTTCATCCACTTCTCGCTATTTGTAATTCTACTTGAATTAGTTCTTCCTAAGTTTAGTGAGGTGAGTACTGCATCCATAACTAGAGGACTTGCTTTTCTGCTTGGCTCCCAGGGGAAGTTGGATTGGATAAGAGGAATTGAAGCGCAAGAAAGGCAGTCGGTATTCAAACAACTATTCAGAGTTCCCAACTCTGGGTAAAGGAAATCTTTACTTGACGACTGAACCAAATCCTTTGCCTTTATTTATTCTATTATTTTTATATAGATCAGCTGAAAACAAAACAAAAATACTACTACGTTGGGACAATGACCCACCTTTCTCTACTCAACCTGTCATCTTCTCTCCTCGCTCCCTGGGACAAAAAAGACTATTTATTAAGTGATAAACAAGAGAAACTAGTGATATTATCTAAGCTTCTGGCCATGTCTGATTGGCATTCAAGTCTGCCTTCCATTGCTTGAAAAGGCCTAGCACCATAAGTAGCAATTGGCTATGTCCAAACTCAAACGTCGTATTTTATCTAAGCACATGAGTCGTAATAAGGAAAGAAGACATAAGAATGGGAAGTATCCGCTAGTTATAACGTAGTATAAAGAGAGCTATTTCATGGATCTTGGTCACAATAAAAAGAATCCAATAATGATCTATCAACTAAATGAGTTGATTATATAATCCCGTATCTTCAAGGTTGTTAAGATGATTTAGAAGATGTGTCGGTATCGTTTTCATCTGCCGTTGGGAGTGACTGCTTTGCTAATCTATCCTTTTATCCTTCTTTTCGGAGACAAGCACATATTACCGTAACCTAGTGATTAATATATCCTGTTGGTACTACTTCGTCGAGTAATTAATCCTTTTTCCATTCTTGTTCTGAGGTTGTCAGCTTCCTCCGATGGCACCACTTGTACTCTCTCCCGGAATCTGTAGACATAGTTTCTAGGCGTCTTTAAAAACTGATCGACATAGTTGTCACACACAAACCTGCGCAACGGCTTTGGAGTAAAAGAATCTCCTGCCCAGTCACACACATCATCTCGAGCGTGGAATCTACTACTCTAACAAGATACTCAGCTCGAGTAAATCATGCTTTCGTTATGCGAGGAAAGTGAAAGGAAAGAGGGAAAGGGAGACATTGGGCAATCCGGAATCGATGAAATCCCTGTTTTTTCGCCTTGTAATATGTCCGGTTACATTCTAAAGATGAATCAGACCAGGAGATAGATAAGCGCTATGGCGGACACATGAAATAAGCATTTGAAAAGTAATGATCAACTTTATGGATCCATAGGTAGATTCACTTGTGAAGCTATGGGATGGGACAAGATTCAAAAGTACCAAAAGTAAGTTAAGTGGGATGCTTAGTTCATTGCTGCGATCGAGGGTCCAAAGCCAGCCAATTTGATGACCGCATAGGAACGGGTTCCGAATGCTCACAATAATGCAGTTGGAAATGACAAAAGGCTCCTAAATTGATACCTAATAATAGCTTAGCAGCTCCTTCGTTTTACTAAAGAGCCAAGTTCGGACAAGCAACTCGGAAGGAGGAATGTGTTGAGATGCCTATGCCTAAGAGAGATAAGCGGAGGATGTATGATAGCTGAGAGGATGTCGGTAAACGACGGAGTTTAAGGAGTTGTTTTTGAATTCGGCATGGCATATTTCATTTTTTTAATGAGAACGTCGTCTCCTTGCTTACCCGCCTGACCAATGGAAGGAATTAATTACCTTGGTCAGTCAGCGAAAGAAAGAATCTCACCAGTTCATCATCCCAATCCTTCCTATTAGTTTCATTAATTAATTCAGCCCCAGAGTGTTGGCAATCAAGGGACAAGAAAGAATACCAAGTCTATCCTATCTCGCCACGGTCGAAAGCACAATCCCTTTCTATTCCTATACCGAAATCGTCGTTTCATTCCTCCGCAACTTCTATCGCGGACATGATCCAATCTACCTTGCAAGATAGATTAAGATATAACTTAAGGCTTTCCCAAGCTGGCGCATAACCTCTGGTAGAGGCATTCACCCAGAGACAGAGAAGTGGGAAACCGCGGATGAAAAGAATACCGAGGTCTTTGATAGCAAACTTCTACGCGAGCTTTCTAACTAAAAGGAATCTCTTATTCATATGGCATAAAATGGAAAAACTTGATGGAGATTTCTTCTCAATTTCCATGGTACAATCCCTTTGCATGCTACAGTTCCATTACTTACTACCTGAATTTGCTACATACGAAATTCTGACATCTACGGTACTTGTCGTCTACTTCTGGTGGAAGCAATTCCAAAGGTGAAGATAATACTGAGCCGAATAGTAATGAGGGGAATGCAAAATCTAGCAAAGGTAAGA